GATTTTTCTTTTCTCACTAGCTATTTCATATCTCCAAGGTGTAGAAGGTGAGAGCGATCAGACGTAGAAATTGGTACAACGTTAATATGAGAATAGGAAGGTTCCGTTGAACGATTTGGCTATTCGGCGTGCTTCATGCCACGCTCTATACATTGTGACCCGATCATTACAGATACTGGCATCGCCCAGCACCACTACGCGCGCTCTGGAATATCAGAGTACAGACGCGGGGAATTGCATAGCACGCTCGCTTGCCGGCATTGAAGTCTCGGCCGATGGATATGAATTACTGTAAAGATATAGTAATCACCATACCGATACCAACTCGTTTTATCACCTATCCTCTGTTCCTCATTTTATGGAGCAACGAGTCGTAACCGGGTGCGATGTAACTCACACGTGCACATCGTGCATCACCTGTTGGACGGCAGTCGCGATATATTAAAATATAAATGCGCTCTAGTATACAATGCCGATCGAACTTTCGAGCGGCTGAGTGATGCTCGCCCGCGGCGATCGTGGAAATCGTTCTCAAAAACTACATTCAACCCTGACAAACTAAAGTACTGCGAGTATTGAATGCTGACGCTCGATATTCGATACTTGGAAAGAAACTGGCAAGTGTCATATTTCTTCGTCGATGTTTTTCGAGTCGCATCTCCGAACGAGCGTTTCTTCGCTCGGAAACGAAGCTTCTCTGAGCTTCTGCCGCGCGCGGACGGGACGCTCCCGCGAGCGTGAGAGAAGCGAGAAGTGAGAGCTGAGAGGAAATTCCAAAAGCTCCAAAGCGTTCGAAAGTTCGCCGTGCAGCACATACCTTGCTGAAAGTAGTTGGCTTTTCGCAAGAACACGCAGACCAAGGCCATAAGCTGCAGCTGGGAAAGCCTTTGGCGCGTCGAGGGCGGTAACGGCAGCAGGTCACGTAGATTCGCGATTTCGGCGTTGATCAGGTCCCTTCGAAGTTTGCTGGCGCCTTTCGTCGACTTGCTCGCATCTATCCTTCAAGCACACGCTGACGTTACCGTTGTGCTGCACGCGTGTGCGGCACGTGCGTGCCGCGTCATACGACGCGCGCGATCGCGACGTCCCGACGTCGCGTCGTCGCGACGAGATTACTCGGTAGCACCCACTATGTCTGTCTACACTTCAACATCTCGGCTCGAGCTCGCGCTATCTCCCGTACTTCAATGAGAATCGTGAGAATCCGGATTACTCGGGAATTCCAACCCGCTGCGAAGTCGAGCGATCTCTGCGAGGGCGAACTCTCACCCCCGGATCGGAACTCGAGCACTCCGTGCGGAGAACCGAGCGATTGGTCGTTTAATTAATTTCCCGAGTCATCAACGTCATTCTTGTCAGTATCCCGCAAAGTATCCCGCGGACTATCTCGAGTATCCCGCTGGTCTCTCTAACGCGACACATCGTATAATCTCGGGGCGGGTGGTCCTCGCTGAAGTACTGGGCGACAGGGCTCCACGACGATGACGACGAAGACGAAGACGACGACGACGACGACGACAACGACGACGACGACAACGACGACGACGACGACGACGACGAAGACGAAGACGAAGACGAAGACGAAGACGAAGACGAAGACGAAGACGAAGACGACGACGGAGACAAGGAGAACGACGGCGACGTTGGTACTGCGACCGTAACTTACCGATTGAACATATTTCGGTTGCCAGGGGGACATCAGTGGTCGATCATCGGTGAACAACGAGCGGGACATCCGGGTCGGCAGGTTCTCGCGAAACTGCGGCTACGATCTAACATCCGGGTCATAACGCGCTACTACACTGAACACGTGGATACTGGCAGAGGCTGGTTCTCCTACCACCATCAACATCAGCACCACCACCACCTCCTCCTCCTCCTCCTCCTCCTCCTCCTTCTTTTTCTCCTCCTCCTCCTGCTGCACCTCCTTCACCTCCTCCTTTACCTCTTTCTCCTGCCCCTGCACCATCACCTCCACCTTCATCGTCCACCTACTACTTCTTCGTCTTCGCCGCCTCTCTCCCTCTCTTTCCCTCGCTCGCTTGCTTATACCGAGGTCCTCGCTCTTCCTCCGCGCCAGGTAATCCCTCGGTCTTGCTTTTACCTTCGTTCGCCCTGTACTTTGCTCACTCGCTCGCTCTCGCAACCCGCGGCTCTTAGGTCACGATCGAGAGCGGAGTCCCTGTCCCTCTACCACCGCCATCATCGCCACCACCTCCGCTACCGGTTGCGTCTCTCTCCTCTGCATGCGGTTTCTGCCCGCGTCTCGCGACTATCGCGGCTTGACGCTGCGCTTGGGATGGCTTGTGAAATTTTTGGGAATTATTGTGTAATTCGACCGCCAACCGGCCTGCGGTCGGACATTCGGTCGGTTAATAGAAGGACAAATGAAAACATGGTACCATTAGAGGAACTGCGCGATGCGGAATGATGAGCATCTTGAATGATTAAAATTGTACAGAATGTTTGTTGCTCGGAGTCTCGACGAATCGAGTTAAACATTTAAATAAAAAAGCATATAGACACATTGTTCCGTATCGTTTATTAACTCCTCGATTTATATAGTCATTGTAACTCAGGGATTTACGGAATTGGTAAAAGAAAGCTTTCTTTTTAATGTGTTTTTTACTAATACTGTTACAATATCTATAATTATCAAATCTAAATTGGAATATATGAAAATATTTTGCGTAGATAAATAATTACAAAAACTTGGTGAAACTAAAACCGAAGTCGTTGGAATGTTTTTAATCATAAAAAATAGACAAAATTACAAAGCTCTAACTCTGATAAGATAATGGTAGCAAGAAGATCCAAAAAGCAGTTTATAGTCTGATTAAGTTTTTCGATCTCAAACATGTCTTCAAGAATAAAGTTTATTTATTTTATTCCACGATGCTACACAAATATAAAGCAAGATTTGTCAAGCGAAAATATATTTCAAGTATTTTCTTTTAAATATGTTTTAAGTGTATTAAGTTTATCAAGTCGCAACGTATAAACGAAAAACATAAATAATAGTTGATGCCACTTAATAATATAAACATTACCTGTTCATTTAAATAATTTCATATTACGGTATTGCAATTCTCATTTAACTCTCATTTAACTCAGTATCTTTGCGAAAAACATTAACGATGTAATGCATTTAATATATTAAAATATAAAAACTTGAATTTTCAATATACTTTTCGAACCACCATGCCATCATTATCTTTGTCCAAGTTGCAGTACATTAAATTTTATTTACATCCATTATAGAAATGCTTTGTACTTATCACTCAGTCTTACTGTTTAATAATAAAAAATACGTCTGACTTCTTATGGAGTCATACTACGATCTTATTGAAGGGAAACCAGAGTGTACTACGATCTCAGTTCTTCCTTGAAGATGGTGGCGGCCCATAGCGTCGATTTCAGAACTAATGAAGAATAACGGGTCGGAGGAAAACAAGACGTTAACCCCGTTAAGTACATCAACAATAATTACGTTTACACGGCAAAGTTAATCCGGATTAGTAACAACCGTGGTTAGTGAATTTTTTTTATTCGATTGGTATATTCTTTTAGATCTAAAAATATATTCTAATCGGATTCGAGACTACACTATATACTACGGTAGTTACTAAATCGAAGTTAGAAGCCGTGTAAACGTAGTCAATGAGATAACAGCACCTTAAGCTGATGTACTGAACTTGAGTAACATATATTTTCTCGTAAGAATTGTTGTTAATTAGATCGAATCATAATAGAGATTATTATTTTAACAGTATTTCACAAAATTATTTCATTAATTTTATTTTATTAATTTTTAACCCCTTGACTATGGAGGCAGAAATGTACTAGTCGTGCCATTTTTGTGTTGGAAAAAATGTCGAATTTTCTTTATGATATTTTTATAATAAGGATTTTTGGGGTCGCCGAATCCAAATTTGATATCAAAATTTTTTAATTAAAAATGGCGGATTTAAATTTTGAAAATCAGATTTTCATGATTTTTATAATTTTGACTCGCCATGTTGGATCCGCCATTTTGAATTTCGAAATTTTGATATCAAATTCGGATTCAGCGACCCCAAAATCATATAGATACCCACTTTCATAAAAATCCGATTATTTTTATAATTTTGATTCGCCATGTTGGATCCGCCATTTTGAATTTCGAAATGTTGATATCAAATTCGGATTCAGCGACTCCAGAAATATATAGATACCCACCTGTATGCAAGAAACAATAGTTTTACTATTTTTTTTCTTCGATGCGTGTATACACGTCATCCACACTGGTGGCACGACTTTTTCATGCGGCTATACACGTCATCCACAGTCAAGGGGTTAATAATTTATTTTAATTCCATTAATTAATTTTATGGGCCCATAAAAGTAGAAAATCTAAACTAGGCACTTTTTGTAAACTTTCAGAATTGCATTTGGTAGTGCTGGTCGAGACGAAGAAAATTATACCTCGCACGACTTTCTACGTCCACCAGAAGTGCCTAAAAGAATTGTTTAAATTTTGGAAAGTAAAGCTCTAAATTTCGAATATTTCCGGTGGTCGTAGAAAGTCGGGTAAGGTGTCATTTTCTTCGTCTCGACGAGCATTACCGAATGCAATTCTAAAAATTCGCAAAAAGCGCCTGGTTTAGATTTTCATTTTTATGGTCCCATAAAATTAATGAAAATCTAAACCTGAAAAAAAACCTAAAAACAGTACTAACACAAAACTTTTCACTCTTTTATGCTGCTTTTATTAAATATTTAAATCATAAAAATTTATTAAATTTTATTAATTATTTATCAATTATTATTCATTATCAATTTTTTGAAATTTTTGTATTTGATATCATTCGATAAAATTCATGCAAGAGTGTCGAAAATAGATCAAGCGCCGATTATCGGGTACTTTACCATATATATTTGTAAACATAATTAAATAAATATACACACATATTTGACCTGTTCCATCGACAAGATATTATAAAGACTATTGGTTTTACGGGATTTAGCGTACCAGAGAAATTTCGCTGTGCATTAGCGCCCTCTTAGAAATATCGTGGCCGAAATATGAAACATAGCTTGAAATAAGCATGGATGGTAACAGATATGGAATAATAGGAAAAAGATATCGGAAAATATCAAAAGACTATCAATACGAAAAACAGGTCGAATATGAATGTAATTATGTCTCCTAGGATTGCCAGACGTGAGCAAATTTGGAATAAGTTGTATTTTAAATATATACGTTGGCATTCCTTGAGTTAATAATTCGAAGTTGAAATAATACTAAAATTGTGGTCGAAGACATATCATGTTGTTATGTACAGAGTTATGTTTCACGAATTCCTCGCTCTGAGGAATTCATGGAGACATAGAGCGGATTAATATAAATATAAAATTCCCATACCATTTTGCGATATTCGCAATAACTCTCGAGTTATTAATTATAGGAATGTAACGAACGAGCGCGCGCCGAGATGATATGAAAAAAGCATCGAAGCCGCTGGGCCCAAAAGCGCGGCCCACTTGATATAGCGACTGTTGCCAGCGCGCGGCGAGGGGAAGGACAATGTGCTACTACTTGTACTTTATCTCGCCGCTACTCGTGTATTTTATCGTCTTCGTAGTCTTCGTCGTCTTTGTCATTATCTTCGTCATCTTCGTCATTTTCGTCGTTTTCATTGTCGTCTTCATCGTCGTTTTCGTCGTCTTCGTTGTCTTTGTCGTCTTCGTCGTTTTCATCGTCTTCGTCGTTTTCATCGACGTCTTCGTCATCGTTTTCGTCGTCATCTTCGTCGTCGTCTTCGTAGTCTTCCTACCTGTGGGCCCCTTGGGATTCCCTTGGCTGATACGAAAATTTATTCAGGACTGTCAGTCTTTATAACACATCACTCAATAAGTTCGTAGGATGATATATAAATGGCGCTACTATTGACAAATAGTATCCATATGATTTTTAGGAAGTACTAACTTTCAAATGATACGTGTCAAAATTTCATGACAATCGGACGTTTAGTTCACAAGTTACAGTGGTTTTAGTGACAGCAACCAGCGAAACCCGCCCAAAGCGACCAAAAACGCAAATGTCAGCTGATAAGGTTTTGGCCTTCGTATTTTGGGATGCGCAAGGTATTTTACTCATTGATTACCTTGAGAAAGAAAGAACCATCAATAGCGAATATTATATGGCGTTATTGGTGCGTTTGAAGGAAGAAATTGCGAAGAAACAACCCCAAATGAAGAAGAAAAAAGTGCTCTTTCACGAGGATAATGTACCGTCTACAAAAAAGGCATCGAAATGTTAGAGAAGCGTTTGGAATCAATATATCACTCTTGAAGGAGACTATGTAGATGAATAAAGTCAAATTTTGCCTAAAAGTTGTTTTATTAGTCATCCTACGAACTTATTGAGTGATGTGTTATTACCTCGTCGGTGCCTGTTCTACGTATTGATATTCTTTCAATACCCTCCGGTACCTTTTCACCATTATTCCACATCTGTTACCATCTATGCTTATTTCGAGCTTCAGTTTCATATTCCGGTTACGATATTCCTAAGAGGGCGCTAATGCATTGCGAGAATTCTCTGGCACGCTAAATCGCATAAGACTGACAGTCTTTATTAGTACCTCTCGTCAATGGTTTCGCTGAAATAAGGGGTAAAGCAGCTATCATTAACCCATTATTTTGATGTTGACCTACGGCGTATATTTTAAAGTCTAGATATGCCAATAAAATACAAGAGTTGATATGCCTCTTATTTCGTTTTAAGTTATTGCTGACACTGTTTCAAAATTATTTGGAAACGGTCTATTAAGGCTGCGTTCCGATATTCACTGTCAGCACTGAAAATCTATAATATACGTGACGCATACTATGTATTTTCAGTACTGGCAGTGAATACCGGAACGCAGCTTAAAACGCGATTCTCCGACACGATAATAATCGAGTATCGATTCAGCAGTGGAGCAGCAGCCATCTATAACTCCCAGTAGGTCGATGGCGTGGCCGTTAGTCGGCGTACTTGGCTGTATTCATTCTACAGTGAATGCTTAGACAGATTGTGCCACTTGTGACGAAATGACGGCGCACGATCAAATGCGAGCTATGCTCGACCAGTTAATGGGCACAGGGCGAAATGGTACTCATTTGCTCACTTTTCCGCCGATTTCCGAACACGTGTTGTGATTCCGTGAAACGTAGCCAACGGATGTGGCAAAACGGCCAATCCTGCGGCCATGTTCTTAGCCCGTCATAATAGTGCTACTCTGTACACATATCCCTCATTTTGCACAACTTGGTATGCTTGTTGTTAATAAAAATTGTTTTTTCAGGGGAAAATAACAAATTTCAAGTGAAATACTCCGACTCGAAAGTCTGCAAGAGTTTTTTGCTGGCCTGCTGTCCTCATGAAATCCTCTCGTCGACGGTGAGTAATTTCTGTATCAGAGGCACACGAAATATATGGACGACACACCATTGGCACTTGTGCGCAGATAATGCACCCTGTATATGTATATATATATATATATATATATATATATGGATGTATATATATATATATATATATATACACGCGAATAACTTCTAATATTTTTTAATCAAAATGCAAAAAGAGAAAATAAAAGTTATATTTAATTTCATGTATCTACATATTTATTTTATTAAGTTTAAGTTCTGTTTATGCTTGTTACATGATTTGTTTTTTTTATTAATTCTTCGGTCGCTGGCACTGTGCTATTAAAAAGTGATCAAATTATTGGCTAGGATCATGGATTTATAATCACCACACACATATATTTGATTATTTGATTGGAATCTAAATTTTTAAATCAACTGGCATCTTGATAAATTGAAACATATTATAGATTAGATGCTTGCTAAACAAATTAATGCGATACTGTTGATTATTAATTTCTAAGATTAATTTATACTTTGAGATATTCATATTAAAGAGAACAAATCCCATACATATTTAAAATGAGGTTAGGTCCGATATAATTTATTGCACAATTGTGTAATCATAATAATTTTTGTAGTATATATATATATATATATTGGACAGTTGAATATCTATTTATTTTTATGTATTCTTCATACATACACATAACAACACAAAAAACTGCATACCAAACAGTCTGTGTGCACAAATAACATTTATCCTTTAAATCAACAAATAATATACAAAACACAAAGTGGAACAAATTTTCAAGTTCTTATCAGACATTCTTTCTCCTCTCTCTCTCTCTCTCTCTCTCTCTTGATATTATTGATATTTACACATATTTTTCTATAAAATGGGAGACAACTCTTCTCGCGACAAGAATTTAATTAGCATACAGCATTCAATTATATCGTATATATTTTGCGACTCGACAGTGAAATTATTTAAATATCCATTCGTCCGCTACTGCCATCATCATCTTTCTGAACCGACTCATTTTCCCCCCTGATGTAACATTATTTACCATGCTCACCGAGTCAGGTCATATAGATGATGAAGTCTATGTTAATAGCATAAAGAGTACTAAATCGATAATGAAAAGCAATATTTTGCAATTTGTACTTTCATAACACCTCGCTACGATCGTAGATTTGAGTGCACACCGACTTGTTTAGCACTGCTGTATATTGTCACACATGTACACATACACACACATACACACATGTATAAAATTTTTATATATTTATATGTATATATCTTATTATGCCTAATGTTAAGTAGAATACGTTCTCTAACCGTAATGTCGAAATCGAGAGAAGCATATGCGCACATATACATATTGAGTATCTTTGCGAGTCATCGCTCGAGGGAATGCGTATTTCGCAATAGTGAGACACGTCACTATGTTCCAACGAGTAACATTGTCAAAAAAACTAGCAAGTGTCACGCGTAACGAAGTTTCAGTGTCACGCATGTAGCACGTAGAACAGCCGAATAGAAAGAGTAAAAAAGCTATGCGTAATCGTGCGACACACACAGCGCTACGTAACCGATGTACCGAACAGTACATTCAATCGCCCACCAAGGTGCTTCTTTTCATCCCTTCTCACCTGTGCCAATCGGTGTGTCAAGCTCGATGTCGTGTTGGAGCGCTCGAAAAGGTCGTAGCTTGTAAGATGAGCGTCCTTTCGATCAAATTTACGTAAGCGAACGTAACGCGGGGGGAGCGAGCAATCAGTACGCAGAGAGGCGTGCTAATCCCATTTTCTGCCCCGCGTGGACACGTGTCTACCTCAGGGATTGACGATCACGATCGATTCACACTGGATACCGTCGAGAGGTGCGACACACACGAGGGCGGGCATTTCTGTCAAGCACACACATACACACACACACACACACGCACACTCGAAATTGCCGATTGTGATTAGAACAGCTGATGTGAGATTTCGTGGCTCGTGCGGGAAAAGCGGAGAAGCGAGAAAATGGCGTGTCCTCCACATATCAGTTACGTCTCTCCCTCTCTTTCTCTTTTTCTCCGTCTGTCTGTCTATTTGTCTGCCTGCCTGCCTGCCTGCCTGCTGTGTCGGGATTCCTCTCTGATTCTCTCGAGCCATGAAACGATGTTGCTCGTTCTAATTTCATTCGTACATATCAAATATATATATGTATGCGTACACTCTGAGAGAGAATACTTATATACACACACACACACACACACACAACATACACACACACACACACACACACACACACACACACACACACACACACACGCGCGCGCGCGTACAATGCAACCCCCTGTCGCAATGAAATTAGGAGGCGCAAGCAACTGTACAAGTGTGGCTTGAGCGAAATCGCATCGTCACGATGCGTTTACACGCGGTCGATCGAGCAACATTTTATCAAACGACACTGTATGACCACCACCACGCTTTGATTATCGATCGCGCCAACCGTCAAGCGCCAACCGCTAACGTAATGAATCGTTAACACCGCTTCGCGCATCTCGGTGTCAACTCGTGTAGGTTGCCCACGACGGGGATGTTTGCTACCATCTTGCCTCGGCCACATTCACTTACACAAAGCTGTCTCGAGTGCCGTCGCGAATCTCGGCGGCCTCCTTGGCGGTCTCTTCAGCAGCTCCCCGCAGCGGTGAGCATTGTTACGGGCATTTATCGCGTCTCGTTAAGTTACATGTAAAGTATGATTAATTGCACCGGGACAGCAGAGAGCCAATGAAAGTGAGGAAAGTGAAACTCGTGAAATTATAGTCATTTCGTTCAGTCGTCCGTTGAACCGTCATCATTATCGCGCAATCGAAGGAAATCGACGCGCCCAATGTCGCAGCGTGAAACCTCAGAAATCCATCCCGCAATCAAATGAGGATCATAAACACGAAAGAAGACGAACGCGTCCTTAATGGCCGAGAAAGTCCTTAATGTCGCGATCTATGAAAGGGAAAAAGTTGGAAAAGTTTTCTCTCTCTCTCTCTCTCTCTCTCTCTCTCTCTCTCTCACCTCAGACTATTTACAACTACTTACTGTACAGAAAGTTCCCGCTTGGGAAGTTGCATCGTACGGTGAGATTGTTCCTTAATTTTTGATCGGTCAGTGTTCTCAATGTCGTCCGCAGATGCGCGGGAATTTGCATAAATATCCGCACGATTATGCGGGTTGTTACCGAACGCGCGCGCGTGCCTGTTGCCGACGTTGATGGATGGCGGAGAATCCCAGCGGGTACTTGGGGAATTTACAGGAGGGCACCGGCGAAATTCACCACGAAATTTTCTAATTAATCTTGTCTCCCTAAGACGGATGGATTTATCTCCCCCTTCGCTGTTCCGTCGGAATCGGTTCCGGGAAACGCGCTCTTTGTATCTCAATTTACTGCGAAACACGCGTCTCGCATTGCTTGTTCCTCGTGAGTGCAGATAAGACATTAATTAGATTCTACATACATATCAAAACGCATGCATTCTGCATGCAGGAAAAATGGGAATGCCTTGGGCGTGTTTCTCAAAATTACGAGGCACTCGTGTGCACACGTTGTTCACGATTGTTTCTTCCTTCGGTATCGTCCTCGTTCTCGGCCAACTGACATTCATCGCGGATCATTCCGATCCCGAACCAAGCGATACGAAAAGCGTGTAAATTTACAAATGGATACTTGATATACGATTATATAAATACCAGCAATGTCCCACAAACTGAGCTATTAAGAAGAGTGATTTGCTTTGGAAAAAGAATAACCGCGTTACGTGCTATGTTTATAGCGTTGCGTATTTTTTCGATGGTCTCTCACAAGAACTTCGAACAGTGAAAGGAAGCAAACGTGAGGTAGCAAACACCCCTGGTGGTTCCGCGACAGGATTCCCCACGACACCACGAAATTTCGAGAGCAAAGACGAGAATAAAGAAATCTCAATTAGGGAAGGAAACAAAGATTAAAAGAGAAACTTAAAGAAAGACGGAAAGAGAAACGAAAAAGAAAAAAAAATAAAGAAACAAAAAAAGAGCAAAATTTTTACTAACGGCAATCGTTCGTTCGAACGTGAAGCACCGCTATGCAGATCCACTAATGTCAACGTAACTACAGTTCTATTTCCAGAGTCTCTGGAAAAAGCAATTCCAATCAGATCCATTGTACAATATTGTTGCGAGTATTGTCCGCTCACATATGTCCGTGTTGTACTTGTCACTCTCACACGCGCGTTACTGTAAGTACTGAAAACGAGAAGAGGACGTACGTATTACACCTACAATTTGATTTACCTTTACAATAATAATTCAAATGCTAAGTATAATACATATATATGCGTATCTATATACATATATATTTTAATCCGATATACATATATATATATATATATATATACGTAAAGGCGGGCGGTAACCTCAGCCCCTCTACCGGTTTTCCACACGGTGGTGAGGCTGAGTGCCGAATGTAAATTCCCAGACCCCCCGAAAAGGCCTGTAAAAGTCGGTGAGTAGAGCGTCATGCTGATTCAATGAGACGATATCTTAATTGTCGCTTCTTACTAATGATGCCGTTTACGGCAGGTAGGAATGAAGTTTACTTTGAGAATGTGTGTGAACAAAAAATATATATCATCCTATGGAAGTATATGGGTGCAAGAAAATGAAGCAGTCATCTGTAAGTAAGACTTTGCGAATTGCCAAGAACCTTTCACACAACCGCGCACCCGCGTACGGTACGACGATCCTCGTCGGAGATCGGAAGAGCGCTTCTTCCTGTTGTCCGGCTTTCCAACTTTCGAGGACGCGAACTCGGAAGGGACGAAAGTCGGCGTGTTGGTCTGGTCGATGCAGCTTTACGCGCATCTCGTCTCGCCTCTCTTTAACGATTATCGCGCGTCGCATCCTGAATAAATACTTGAAGAACGAAGCGTTTGAAAAAGAAAGAAAAAAAAAGAAATAAGGCGAGTTTTTCGAACGAAGTGCGTCGCGTCGCGTCGGGGGAAAGCGATTTTTCAACCGAGTCGAGTTCGAGTCCGGGGAATCTCTCGTTTCGCGCCAACCGCGCGATACCTTTGGCAATTTGCAACGGCCGAAAATGTCGACAAGAGAAAAATTGAGAGGTGGCATGACGCAGAGAGAGACGTGTGATTAGGCGGATTAGCACAACGTTGCCAGTTCCATTAGAAAAATTTCCTCCAACATTGGACGTGTGTACGTATTGAATCCGTATCTTTCTAAATCCGTTTAGCAGCCAACATAAGAGAGAATTCGTGCCGTACGTAAATAGTGTAATCAACCATTATAGGCTGTAAGTTCTTTCGTAGAAAAGTGAACATTATGAACTTAAGGTGTGTGCTGATTATAGCTTCATTGCCATCGCATTCTCGTGTCAGGCGGAGAACTGTTGCCACCCTGTAAGTGAAAACAACAAAATATTTTATCTGTACAAACTGCATTTCTACTTTATACCGCGCGACTACGTGCTATAGATCGACTGACGATCCTTGGATCGCTTCAATCGTGCGTTTTATCTAGCCCGTGGCTAGGAAGACAAACTGACGTTTCCGTTATAAGCAAAAAAAAGAATCGAATAAAATGATACGAAAAGAAAGAAAAAGGCAAAATGCTTATTGGGTTGTCTTTTATCCTAAGGGAATATAGGCGTTACAAACTCGGAATTTTTGTCGTATGATCTGTCTGTCTCTCTCTCTCTCTCTCTCTCTCTCTCTCTCTCTCTCTCTCTCTCTCTCTCTCTCTCTCTCTCTCACTCACTCACTCACTCACTCACTCTCTTTCACTCTCTTTCACTCTCTTTCACTCTCTTTTTCATTCTCTCTCTCTCTCTCTCTCTCTCTCTCTCTCTCTCTCTCTCTCTCTTTTTCACTCTCTCTCTCTCCCTCTCTCTCTCTCTCTCTCTCTCTCTCTCTCTCTCTCTCTCTCTCCCTCTATCTGTCTTCTAGATTATCGATTCGAGCTAATTTCCAGTCGCGGTAACGCGACCGGGTATGTTATTCTTGTCAGTAAGAAATCTCGTAAATGCAGAGCTGGGGAAGGTTTAACTAGAATAATAACAACAACGATAATAATAATGGTAATGATACGCGTAGAATCGATAAGGCCCCGTATAAACGAAGGGACGTAGTCTAATATAACTTGATCTGTAAATGTCATAGCGCATGGACCTGGGAGAATGCCCCCAGATTCACGACTTGGCCCTACGGGCTGACTACGAGGCTGCTCAAAAGAAGAAGGATCACTTTTACGACATTGATGTAAGTATCTTTAAAGCTTTTAAAGCTGTCATTATCGTATTCTCTGGACTCTGGAAGAAGGAGAATCAATGTCCGCGCTATCTCGTTTAATTGTCCTGCTCAACTACAAAAGAGTTTTAAAAGTTGCAAACATTCCGTACGCTACTGCTATTTCAACGATGAAAGATGATCATTTTTTACCGATTGTCCACTTGATCCCCTGAAATTGTTGACGTAATTTCATCTCTCAAATACTCAGGCAATGGAGCATCTACAGAGCTTTATCGCCGACTGCGATCGTCGCACGGAGCAGGCCAAGCAGCGGCTGGCGGAAACGCAAGAGGAGCTGAGCGCGGAGGTGGCGGCGAAGGCGAACAACGTCCACGTGCTCGCTGAAGAGATCGGTAAGAAACTAGCCAAGGCCGAGCAGCTCGGCGAAGAGGGCTTTGTTGAGGAGTCTATGAAGCTGATGGGCGAGATCGACGAGCTGCGCAAGAAGAAGAACGAGGCGGAGCAGGAATACAGAAACAGTATGCCGGCGTCAAGCTATCAGCAGCAGAAGTTGAGGGTGTGCGAAGTATGCAGCGCTTATCTCGGCATACATGACAACGACAGACGATTAGCGGACCATTTTGGCGGCAAACTACATCTGGGCTTCATCAAGATCCGCGAAAAGCTCGCAGAGCTGCAGAAGACTGTCGAAGAGAGGCGCAAGGAGAAGCGCGAATCCTTGCTTGATAGGAGACGAGACAGGGACAGGGAAGACCGCGATAGAGACCGCGACAGATCGGACAGGAGAAGCGGAGGATTGGGCTACAGGGATCGCGACCGGGACAGAGACCGTGATCGGGACCGGGACCGCGAACGCGATCGTGATCGCGATCGCGAGCGGGACCGCGACCGTGACCGGGACCGTGACCGTGACCGTGACCGTGACCGTGACCGTGACCGTGATCGCGATAGAGATCGTGATCGCGATCGTGATCGCGAGAGAGATCGTGAACGCGAGCGCGATCGCGACCGAGATCGTAGAGACAGGGACAAGAAGAAGTCGCGATCCCGAAGTCGTAGTCGTGGAAAAAGGTTTGCAGATTCCTTATACTTTTTTCTTTTCTTTTTCTTTTCTCGAATTCGAGGATAACGGGCGAGAAATTTTTTGTGATGTTCAACCAGAGATTTCAAAATATTTTTCAATTCATTTCCAAAAAATTTCTCAATTTATTTTTAACAAGACTGTCAAGACCGGTCAAGATCGTTGCACTTGTTTCTTCCATTACCTCTACAATAATGTCGCATTCTGTTTCAGATCAAAACGTTCGCGCAGCGGTAGTCACAGTCGTCGATCTCGTTCCCGTCGTAGTGGATCCAACGATCGCAAGAGATAAGAAAGAAGACATAATTATTATGCTCAATCATCCCTTTTTTCCTTCTTTGCCTATTATCTCCTTTCCTTCTTCCCAACGTTCTATACGCTCACACATTTTGTACACATAATGTGTATACTGAAACGTGCACACGAGGCATCCGCGTCAATTTAATATCGTCTATAGTGAACGCGGTGTTTCGTGTTTCGAGGTAATCATTGTAATTACTTGATACCTAAGTGATGCCGATTCAACTTTATTTATATTAGGAGAACTACTCCTACTGTTTAAATTTAACTTAGATATTAATCAATCTATGATGTATTTTTGCTTTTAAACTAGTTTTAATCTACCTTGTAAATAAGAGAACAGCTTAAGTATGTCTCGTATTTGCGGTTGTTACATGTTTATCATATATGAACGTGTGTAGTAATGCTATAAATAATAATAATAATAATAATAATACATTTCAGCATAATTGTTGCATTACTTACAACCTTGCACATTTATGCATGAAAATTTAAATGAAGATGCGTTTGATTTTTCTAAGGTAATATAAGACTCATTACGTACTGAAGATTGAAATCTCCTCAACATGAATTTCTCTTATGTCGCACCTTGTCAGAAGCGGTTCGTGTCTTTAATCTCTTTAAGATCTATCAATTATTTTTATTTTTACGCTCTATTTATGACTACAAATTATATTCGTAGTCACTGAATGGATGACTTTTAACGAAAGGAAGTGAATGATGTTCAATAATGTGAGTGAAATTCACTAAAATATCAGAATATTTTATTGATCGCAGCGTAATGAAACTTTTTACATAGTTAAATTTTCTCAGGATATATTATATCTCCAACAGATGATGTATGTGGACTAGAAAAATAATTTACATCGTATGTACAAAAGGTCAAAATAGTAATAAAAGTCTTTATAAAAGAAAAAAATAAGAAATACTGAAGAACCAGACACCATTATGCTAATAGAGTATTGGTAATTTTAAGTAATCGCGTGCTTACAAAGTATTTGGTAACATAGAGAAAAAGTAGAAAAAGGATCTTCTCATACAAGACGATCTATAGCAGTTGCCAATTTTTAATCACACTGATTCATACATTCCTTGCAAAGGAATCATCTTCAGATATTTTTCTACGTTGATAAACTTCATTTGAGTTTTTTGCGATGAAGAAAAAAAAACTAAAAATTAGACTATAATTAGACGTTTTAAATACTGTTATCGTACGTACATTGCATATGCAATTTTTGTTACGTATTCAATAGATAAAATGATCTGACTTTTGTATGTTCCACATATGATTTGAAGATTTTACTATTTGGTATTACGTAAACATTGGCGGACATACGACTACCAAATATCCCAAGTATAGACACTTGTTGATAGAATGATGAATTATTTAAATGGTAAGTTATGATTAAGACAGGAACAAAAGAATATATAATGTATTACGCGAGTTGTATAATAATGAATAGTTGAAATGATAATTATTAAAATAAAATTATATTAAAACACACAACAAGATATAATTGTACCTAATATATAAATATAAAATTTTTCAATATTGATAGCAAAAACGTTTCCATTAGATTTTGCAAAAGAAAGACAAGATTCTCGCAAAAAAAATTCTCTCTCCAAAGCAAATATAATCTACTGTAACTTTGTAAAAACATCGACTAGCACTTGTGCTAGTCAAGATGACATTAAATTTCTACGTTCCTGTGATTACGAAATTGGCAGCCGCCGTATACTCTTTACACTTCGAGTCATTGAAGCGCAATAATAAAAAAGTCAAAATTCGTAAATGAGAAAACATAATGACTAATTACGGTCTTATATTTAACGGTCATTATCGGACAGTCTTAAAAGTTGCATTGAGGTCGCTCAAAGAGTTCATTCAAATTCGCCTAGCTTAGAAAAATGAAAGCGGCTACCGCTATCACTTTAGTGTTTTTATCGTATGCTCATCCGCCCTCACTTTAGTTAGTTTGAACGTCGTCGTTGAAATTAACCGCTTCCGTAGCCACTTCGGGAGGAGGTGGAGGTGGTAAAGGATTGTTACTACTCGGCGATATCGACGATACTCCCCGTTGGGCTGACGATTTTGGAGACTTATCATCCACTTGTGCTGGACACTCAAAATGAACACAGTGAAACACCTGGAAACGTCGGGCCATTGCTCATTAGTTGCGCACATTATGTCCCGTGAAGTAACATATATAAACGACCAATTTGATTTTAGAGACGGTAAATACCTCGTTCGCAGTATTGTGAGTCCCCACTATACGTATGTAAACTACTGGACGAGGTGGATTAATATGTATCGTTTGCCAAGACCGACAGGACTCCCTAGTTTTGTCAGCAATTACTGACCAGTCCCAGGTGTTGCCCGCTACCTCTATGTAATACGAGTATGAACGATTATCGCAATCCCAAAGTAATAATCTGTGGAAAAGGTCACAGATAAGTATGTTGCGCCGTACGAGTTTCGCTTACGCCCATTCCATATGCAATCACTCAGCGATGGTGGTGGCGTGATTCTATCGATGAGAAGATTTGTGCGAGCAATGAATTTTGCATCGGGTGATCTTACATGGAACGGTTTTTGACGGCATAATACTGGAACTATACCGCATAGAATGTATCATGTATGGCTGTCCCAATTGCACCAAAATAGCTCCGGAGCCAAGTTGATGACACGTGTAACCACTGTCCCAATCGTAGTTGGACGTGTCGCCGTTCAATAAATTATTGCGTGATCTGGATGAATAAATAATGTTTAAGGGAAAGTGTATATAATTGAATATATAACTGCAGTAGATGGCAAAGTTTTCGTTTATTACCTGCTCACACCCTCTATAACGCACGCGCTTCTTTCCGCAACAGCGACATTTTGCGTCGGTACAACGAAGCCGTCGCTAAGTTCCTCCGTATGGTTTGTGTAGTACGCTTCAAAATTCACGACGTGAAAGACCTTGCGATCGAAATAACGAGAAACATTCGTTAAATATCAAACTATTGCGATAAAACAAATGAAAATGATTCTATATTACACAATTCAAAAAACTCACCCTATTTACTGTGTTATTCGTCCCTACAATACGAATGTAAAGAACCACTCTCGGTTCAAAATATAGATATTGCCAACTGCGGCAAAAATAATCCGAGTGATCGATTAGTTTGACCCAATCCTTCTGATCCATAGATCCCTTTGGATAGCAGATAGCAAAATGGCAAAGATGCAAAGTCTGTTTGATATTGCATTATACAATATGGCATACCTCTATGTAGTACGAATAAGATCGCATATCTCGATCCCACAGTAACATCTTCACATGATTTATAATACATTGTGTCCCTAACTTGATTAAGATCCCCTGTTCTGCCGATTCTGTTATAGTATGCCTCGTGTAACCACGTTCCATGTCATAGTTGATGGTATCTCCGTTCAACAGATAACTACGCATCTCTCCCTGTAACACCTGAGCACCGTGCATCGGATGGGCAACATTCTCGTCGACCAGTAAACGGCCACGATATTCGAGTTCCGAATCGCGCGTCTGCGTGCGCGCGGATATCGCATCCAAGATCGCTTCCGACGAAACAAGCCCAGTTGGTCTCACGACGTTCAGAAGATCCGTGATCGAAATTAGACTCAATCTTAATCGAGCTGTAAAAACGAAAATAATTTATGTGCGAATATACTTTGTCAGCCTGTAGTACCGAGAGAAAATTTATTTTGCCTTAATTTTCATATATATACATATATACACACACACACACACACACACACACACATATATATATATATATATATGCAGAAATTACATAAAACTTCGCTTGCATTAACTTCGGGGTTGGCTTTGACCCACGATTCTACAGCCAAGAAGATGTCTATCTCTGGTGCATAGAAGGAATCTCTGGAGATTAATTTGTTTAAAGCTTCTGGACTTAATTGTAAAAAATTCTCATGTTGAATGACTTCAGGTGCATGTTTATCCATATATTCAAGACAAACCTAACATTAAAATATATATTGAAAATATGTTAAATATATTAATTGTGCGTAAGTTATCTCTCATGTCAGGTAACTCAAGAGTAGAAATCTGCGCATACATGCATATGTGTAATACTAACCCTAGTTAGAAAATCTAGCTGATATAAAAATGCAGTATCTATAATTAAACAAACATTCTTTATGCTAAGTATCTCTCTGAGATAATCAGATATCGCAGCTTCAAGGTCCAAAAAACCATACAAATGTGCTAATCCAAGAGTATCAAGGATTACCTGCGATAAAATGAGAAAAACAACTAATTTCACATATTCTTTAACAATTGAAGTTTAGTTCGAAGGAAGCATACCTCATCACGTTCATTGGCTAAAGACATACGACCGGTATATATATATTTGAGCAAGCCTTTAAATGCAGGCAATGTGGCACTTGGCAGTTCTATTACGTTTTGTGTGGATTCCCTCATACCACCAAACAGCAGAGCTCGAAAGTAATCGCTACGTGCGGCAAGAATAAGTTTGTGAGTATTGAATTTTTGACCAGCCACTACTAGTGTAACATCTGAATAATCTTCAGTACGATATAAAGCTCCGACATCCTCAGAAACAAAGTGAATGTGATCTATCTCGCCAGATGACGGATTCAAATGTGAGCTCATTTTCGTCCGTTGAATTTGTGCACTTGCACCGAATCACTTCACTGAAATAAGAAAGTTGGATCATTTGTTATGATACTATGATGGAAGTACCTGAAAGTGGCACTTCAATCTACTAAGAATTTCTCACACAGTGCTAAAAATTAATTGCGTTAAATTGCAATACATTTTACGCGAGAATAATCCAACGTCAAACTTTCTTCCCCTCATAAATAAATATGTATACAACGTATACAAAGATATGTATACAAAGATATATGACCTCGCTCGATGAAATTGATTAGAAACGAAAGTGTCATGCGAAAATTTGTCAACCTTACACGATATCCTCACAGTTCCCAGAACGAACGCGTGTCGTATTTTATTTATCCAGGAGACATGTGAAAGAGGAAAACTCTAATAATTTCCACGTATGCGTTTGTGTTGCGTACTCGCACTATCGAGCTTTCGAGGAAACTCCTTGAATCATTCCCGGATGAAAAGTTCCACACGCGACTTTCAGCTCTGCGCTCTCTGTCGTGACGCACACGATCTGCCAATCGCGAATCATTCTTCACCGTTAACGAACGTCAGTAAAGTCGCGATCTACTATCCTACCGCGACGAGTGACATTCAGTCAAATTCTTTTACTTTCCTTCGATTTCTTTCATTCGTTTCAAAATCTTGCTTTGCCTTTGCTTGCTTTGCCCAAAACCGCCTCATTTCGATCGCGCAGAAGCTGCCAAAATACGAGGAAAAACCCTCTTGCGAGTCGGACTCAAAGACACTCGTTGCGACATAGAAACTGCACTTGCAGTTGGCGATAATGTCGCCCCGTCGCGGCGGTGTCGACAATTACGGTTCAAGCAGCGGCAAGTGGACGGAACTGCTCAGTCGGAGAAGGAACGTTGACTACTGCGTATTGTCCCGAAAGAGGTGGAGAAACAACAGCAACAGTAGCAGCAGCAGCAGCAGCAGCAGCGGCCCAGTGGCGCGAATCCCGTATGCGTTATGCCGGAGCCGCTGCTGAGGCAACGGCGTTTCCCGCGGCGTCGAACGGCCGTGATCGCGCTCGGCTAAAGCCCGAGAGGCGATTTTTCGCCGTGGCAACGAGCGAATTTGCCGGCAAAATCCTCTGAAAAATCGGCGGCGGCCGTGGCGAATAAGCGCACGTGAAACGAACACGCGATGCACGGCGCGACATTGCGGCGCGCGACGCCGAACGTCGTTGTGGCCGGAGAGCTACTCTGAGGGAGAGAGAGAGAGAGAAAGAGAGAGATAGATAGATAGAGAATAACTACCCTCTTTCCCGCGCCCGCGGCAGTTTCGCGGAACGAGCCGTACACCAGGTCAGGTGGATCGTCAGACAGGCAGACAAGCAGGCCGGCCGGCTCGTGGCCACCGGACGACGCGCTGTACCTGAGAACCACGTGAGTGCACAGCAAGGACGCAGTGCGAAATTTGCAGGAGCGATGACACTTTGTCCGTCGACGAGTACTTCACGTTTGCTTACAACGAGCGCGTTGCTTGGTGCAAATTTCGCAGTGTGCGGCCAAGTAGAAATGTATACCGATAAACAGCGCGAAAAGAGACTCGATCTCTCCGCGACTCATCGCTCGCGGTTGCATGTTAATTATTTTAAGGACTCTCTCTGAGACGAGATTAACTGCGGTATCTCGGTGCATGAAATATCAGCGGAGCATCTCCGACGCGATGTAAACACGACAGGACGGTTGATTTATAAAATATTCCAGTACGCGGTTTCATTTCCGTCGGAGTAAAAACTCGGTTCTCCGGCATCAGAGCATCCAGACGTACAAGTTTCATTTCGTCGAAACTTTTTCTATCGATGGTACCCCGGCTCAGAGTTCTGAGTTCCAAGTTTACTAATTAAACTCGATATTGCGCTCCCCTGACAAAGGGACATACACATTATATATATACATATATATATATATATATTTAATGTTCATTAAATAACAATTTGATAGATTACGCGCACAGAGGTAGAGAAAGAGCTGGAGGATCGCGTGTAAATCGCGTAAATAAGAATTGGATGAATATTGATTGATGATGAGCTTGTACGGATACACGGAATCCCACGGAAACGGAATGTCAATATTTGTTATTTATATGCAACGTTATTAATTTGAGTAAACCGTAGTAATCGCGTGGCGTGTTACGGAGATGGTTCGATTATCTGTACGGCGCTGAACAATTGTTAAAGCGATATTTCGATCGTAAACAAGTCGCCGGTGACTCTACGAACGATGACGGAAAACTCGGACCGTAATATGTACACACTGCCATGTTGCAGAAACTATCGAGAGGAAATAATCTCGATAGTTTAATTTTACACATTTTTTCGTTAGACATTTTTCTTTCTTTTTCTTCTTGCTGAACGCCTCGTTAGCATCGTACCTGTTTACACGAAAGAACGACGTCCCTTGCATAAGCGCGTCGTGCGAATAACATCCGTACGGACGGATGTTGGTACGGATAGTAGAGCGTCACGTGGAAAATAATTAAGCAACGACATTTGTAAGCCTCCCGTGTAACGGGAGAGGCGATTTTATGGCAGGAGGGAATTTTATGGCATTTTACAGAGGCAAGTATTAATCCGGCGAAATAACATGAATAACGCGTATCGGCGGAGAACAGTCAAACAGAATTTTGATGTAGCGACGGCGATATGTGAAACTTTATATGGCTGTAATTCGTGACGGGAAAACGCAAAAGGAGAGGAATTTATTCGAGCTGCGCTCGTTCTCTCTCTCTCTCTCTCTCTCTCTCTCTCTCTCTCTCGCTCTCGCTCTCGCTCTCGCTCTCGCTCTCGCTCTCGCCCGCTCGCTCGCTCGCTCGCCATCTCTTGATACCATGAAAGGATTCAAAATCCCGCTCACACTCGAGGATACGGGTTCCTTTGTGCGATCGAGCGCTTCTGGATATCTCAAGTAGTTACGAAGCAAACGGCTCGACGCAGAGTTAATCCTGTAAGGATCCTGTAAGGACATTACGCAGTAAACTTATCGCGATCCTTTGAAGGAATTTTCTCAATGTGCAACAGAGCATACTCGGAACACGTAGCAATCGGTCTTTCTCCTTCTTGAGGACGTTTTTATCTTAAGAACGGTATATTTATATTTATATAATACTTATAACAATATATTTATATGTTTGTTCGTTTTTTCATCGTGAAAACATTTTTATATTTTTTCGACATTTCGAGATATCACGCATCGCATGCACGCATCAAGTGCATCAAAGCTCTGGTATGCTTTATCGATAAAACTTTTACCGTCAGGATGAAAATTGTTAGATCTTGTTCCGAGATTTTTACAACTGAAAGCTAAAACGACGGTCTTTTGTTGAAATATACACGGTTTGCGTATGTTACGTATCGAAATGCTAAATGCATCTAAGTGCACTCAAAAATTTGTGACTGTTATCCTTGACATTTTTTATCGTCAGGGCTCACTGCTGCATCAATCTTTCATGCACCATCAATACCCTCGAAGTAGAACAAGCAATATCGTTCTGCGGCTTGGAAGTGAAGGCAGGAAATGTCGTGGGTCAGATAGAGGACATTTACCCTAACTCCAAGCCGTGAAATGATATCGGCTGTTCCAGTTCTCTGATATCGATTTATTCGTACAACTCGTTTACTTATCGGTGGTGGATGCGCCGATGTAAACGTGATAGTATTGTTTACATATTTGGGCATACGCGGCGAATTACGTATTATCTGAGAAAAAATAGTTTAGTGGCACAGAAAATTTTTGTTCTGGCTTGAATCCAGATACAGGGCCTCAAATGCACACACAAATATCATTGTAAAGTTTGACAAGCGTTAATTGATATCTCGACTTCTATTTTTTATCAAAAAACATTCCTTCATTTCTGGTGAATTTATTCTCCCGTTATCAGAAAAGAATATATCGAAAACATTCACTTTTGCGCTATTATTTTTCAAGCACAAAAAACTGGAAACATTTTTGTTCGCCGCTGCATTTTTCAGCTGGCTACATTTTTATTTTATAGAGAGGATACTAATCACGTTTGCTAAGACCACTTCGCGAGATGAAAGGACGTTACTTCTTCATGCCAGATCGTGTTCTTTTCGCAATTCCTTCATACAGAAATCCTCCTCTTCAAATGCGAGGCAGCCCTTTTGCGTTACACGTCTAATGGAAGCACTTAACGCACACATAAAAAAAGACTCAGTTGTATATTTGGAAAAGGACAACAGTGTATTTTTAAAAAATCGAGTGATTTTTCTACGAAAAAAGGGCAGTTCGTAATAGATTTTTCTTTATCTCTCTCTCTCTCTCTCTCTCTCTCTCTCTCTCTCTCTCTCTCTCTCTCTCTCTCTCTCTCTCTCTCTCTCTCTCTCTCTCTCTCTCTCTTTCTTCCTCCCTGTCTTTCGACTATATCTCTGACTATTGAAATTAGATTTGTAGGAAACCACCTCAAGAGTGGTCGATACTTTGCCAATAAATATATTTTCCCAAATTTAGCAGCGAGCAGTTACGCTTAATTTAAGATGGCACTACCGCATAATATCGCAAAAGTCGTCACTTAGTATAAAGTTTATGATATCACGTAATGAAATTAGTTGTATAAATTAGCGGTCAGCGGTTTAGTCCTCGTATCGGCACGATACGGTATCGCAAACGTTGGGTTTCCTGGAGGCTCTAATAGCCCACGCTGAACTTCATTTAAATCAGGTCGTAATTAATGTTATTAGCGAATAAAACTAGAGAGAGAGAGAGAGAGAGAGAGAGAGAGAGAGAGAGAGAGAGAGAGAGAGAGAGAGAGAGAAGGAGAGAAAGTATGTGTGTATGTGTGTGTGTGTGTGTGTGCGTGCGTGCGTGTGTGTGTGTGCGTGTGTGTGTGTGTGTATGTGTGTGTGTGTGTGTGTGTAAGCGCGCATGCATGTGTAGATATGAGAAAATGGGAGAGAATGCAAAATGTTCTTCCGTTTCGCGTTAACGTTACACAAGATTGATACGTCACAGGAGTCGGCCGCATTGCCGAGCCGGATAATCGCATTTTCTAGTGCGCAGATGTCCCGCGGGATATAAATGACACTTTTCCCTGGACACGACAGTCCGACAATCCTTATTACATAATGAAATTAATGACGCCAGTACACTGTAGTGCGTCAGATCGATCGGTGGGACGGTTCTGTGAAAGAACCGGTGAACACGAGCGAAACAAAGTGATCTAACGAGACCGAACGCAATTCCTGCAGGCGATTAACGCCCGATTGCATCGGCGTTGATGATTACCGCTAATCCCGATTAATTCAATTTTTCGTCTCTGTCACACGCAACGATAAGTTCATAATTTAAGGTCGATAAGTTTGTAATAAGAAGCGCAGAAAAATCCTTTTGGTACACTGCATCTCTCTCTCTCTCCATCTTTCTCTTGCCATGATTAAATCTGGAAATGAAATTCTATTAAAGTCCACGTGAATTCGCGCAGTACTTCAGCTTTTTCAACCGAGATGCAATCATCGAGATGTATAATGTTCGTAGCAGACGACCACGAATGTAACGGAGGTCCCACGTCGCCGATATTTCCCGAGCGACTCGGAGAGATACGGGTTGCATCAATTTG